AATCCCTTTATATTTAAGATTGTGATTTTATTATTAAATGTGCAGAAATTAAGTTTTCATGCATTTTATATCCATGTTTTATGCATTTAGCGGAATACTTATTTTTATTTTATCTTTTGAACAAGGCAGACACAGCTTGTTAAATGAAAACATTGACCTCCTCCTATGATGGCATAATGACAAGTTGGATATGTTGCAATATTGATGAGTTAGGAAAACCTGTTTTTTTTTTATAATAAAAACTTATTTGTTAGTGAAGTAAAAAGGAATTTTTACTCCACTAAAAATTTTTTGGTTCAAAAAATTTAAAAAGTGCAATACCTCTTATGCGCATGCGCAAAACTCTACACTGCTGATGTGTAGCATGAAATGGTAAACTAGAATGAATACGCATAATTTCTGGCATTTCTCAGGAAAGACTCTAAGGTTAAATTAAATTATCAAGTTACCCTTGATGCTAACCAGCCCCATCCTATTAAGCGACTTTGATACATGGAAATTAAATTAAACTATTTTGATATATGGCAATTAAATTAAACAACTTTGATACATGGAAATTATATTTAACAATTTTGATATAATCAAACTACTATAACTATAGTTAAAATAACAACAGTGCATACAATTGTTAAAAATCAAAATGAGTTTTACAATCTGATCACAGTCCTTCACCTAGTGCTAAGACATGGGAGTGGTGATTCAAATAGCAGATTCTAAAAATCCAAAAGAATAGATATCCAAGGAGATTAGTTTTAGGTTGAAAAATAATCTCTTTAAGAGAGATGAGTATCATATTAGCAACCATATAAGTGCAACCTTATCTTCCAACCATATAAATGCAATCTACATCTCCCATCCCTCTTTAAGAGGAATGATAGGGGTGGATGGGGAAGAAAGAGAAACATAAAGAGTGCTATGAGTATCATATTAGCAACCATATAAGTGCAATCGCGCTTATATGAATGTTAGTGATCACTAGCATAACCAGCAGAAAAATTGTACTATAAAATTGATATCCATAAAAGATGCAAACTTTAAATCATTCGCCAGAGATGCAGCATGCTAAATCACTGTTCTACTTTGTCAGTAATAGTCTTTTTAGTAGTCTCTTCTTTAATAAGGTTATGGTTTGTTTTATAGGTGCTCATTCTATCAATCATTTTGGCATTGTCTCACAATATTTGGTACTCCAACATTGAATACTCGATCTTATTTTAAAATATGTATTGCTTTGTAAACTATAAATCAGCAACGCTTAGTTATGATTATAAATTTGTGAAAGAAATTACAGCAAACTATAAAAATCTTTGAAAAAAAATTTTAAATATGAAGTTGAGCATAACCATTTCGCAAACTTAGAATAGTGAGACAATCTTAGAATAGCAAGATCAATTTAAATTTTTCTATATCTTAGATGATGATCTTAGACAAGATCACTTTAAATATGACAAGATCACTTCAAATTACTCTATAAATTATGCGAATGTTTTAAGAACTAAGACAAATTTCCAAAATTTTGGTAGCATAAACTTCTACTATTGCAAAACAAAAAATGGGACTCCAAGGTATCATTCTTATTGCTATTTTTTATATCAAGGTGTAAACTTATAATTGCAACAGCCTTTATGTTATAAGTTATATGTTCACACCTTTATATCAATATCAAGGTGTGAACTTAACTGCAACAATCTTTATGACAAACTAGCGAAAAAAGATTTAATTCAACAAACAACTATTTGATAGTAAATCTATATGATGATGATATTGACTTCTATGTAAACCTTTAAAATGCATTGTAAAAATAAATTTCATTAAAAAAATAAATCCTATGTAAACCTGCTTTAAAATGCATTGTAAAAATAAATCCTATGTAAAGCTGTTTTAAAATGCATTGTAAAAATAAATTTCATTAAAAAAATATCATTGCAAAGCTTCAAACTAAAAGCAAAACTCAAAAAAAAAAAGAAAATTAGCATAGTAAGATTTATTAAAAAGGGCAAGCTATTATTATAACTTATTAACATCTAAAATCAATTCAGTTAAAAATCAATTTATCCTAAGCATACCTTAAACTCTAATCCTAAGCAAGTTTAAATTTTTTTTATTATACTATCCAACTAAAATTCATTGATAGATTTTTAACTATATCATGAAATAATTTCAGGATTGCCACATTCCTAAAAATCACCTGTCCCAAACAACAAGGTAAGAAATTTTTGATTTTAAAATTCATTATTTTCATAGTAACATTTTTTTTTAACTAGACTGTCAATAAAAATTTTTAAATATTATAAATTTTTTCTAATAGGAATTTATGGGGAAAATTTATGGCAACCAGGTAAAAGTATGCATATGTGTAAGTTTGTTTGTGTATTTTAGTAAGTTTTAGAAAGTTACTTTTTCTTTAATGTTAATAACATACCTCTGTATTGTTGCAAATAAGATGAGTGGGTGAAAATTTAATGATGTAAGTAAGGCCAAATGATGATAGATTAACAGTAAGAAGTATCTAAATTTCATTAAAAAAATGTTTTATAAGGATCATGAGAATCGCCTTAAAAATTTAAATCATAAGAGTCTATAAAAAACATCTTTTTTTTATTTTTTTACAAAATTATTAAAAATTTAAATCATAAGAGTCTATAAAAAACATCTTTTTTTTATTTTTTTACAAAATTATTATACTTTTAAAAATTAAAAAATCCCTTTAATTGTAAAAATCCACTGAAAAAAACAAATTTTTAATATAGATTATTAAAAAATCAAAAGAATTTTTTTAATAATCTATAACAAAAATTACATGAAAATCATTACAAAACTTTATAAAAATATACTCTATATTCATTTTGAAGGTTGTCAATGCATTTAATAACACTTTCATTGCTTACAACATTCAAGTAAAATGAATCTGACCATGATCCACCATTTAAAGATAAATTTCCCTGTAAAATAAAAAACATTAATATTTTCATGTTAGTAATAAAAATAATAACTATTATAACAACAATACACTAATAATATTAATAATAATTACTATAATAATAATAACAATATTAATATTAGTAACAATAGTTAAAAGGAGTTAATAATAGTAATGTAAATATTTATAAAAATAACAATAAGCAATAGAAATGACAACAAAAATTAATATAGAAATTAGAAATATCAAATGTATTTTATTAATAACAGTAATAATAAACAATACAAAAGACAACAAAAATTGATTATAGAAACTATAAATATTAACTGTATTTTTTAATAAAAAGTAGAATAAACTTGTTTTAAAGGTTAAGAATGAATTGAGAGCTTTTAGTTCATAAGGTTGTTCCAAATTTTAATGCTTTAATATTTTTAAGATTTATGTCTGTAATTATGAGAGCGGTGTTTAGAGACAGACAAGTTTAAATTACTATTGTAACAGAGGTGATAACAAGTGTTAACAGTTTTGGAAAAGAAAATGATAAAAGTTAATGGTAGGTATTGTGTTGGTGGTTCCAGATAAATCAGTTTAAAAGTTGAATATTGTCACATAGTTTTAATACTTTCGAAGTTAGGTAAAGCTAACAACTACAAGAGCCGTGTTGTTTTAGCTGATTTTTAATTTATTGTTTGACTATTTAAATATTATTTTACTTGTAATTTACTACTGGGTGATAAAGAGAAAATATAAATATAAATAAAAAACATTAGGATTAAAATTAATATTCTGGAAATAAATAATTTTTAAAGCCTTGTTTTGAAGATGGGATAACCTAATAAGAGCTTGTTGATGGGACTGCCTCCATACTTGGCAATCGTATCTTAGATGTAAGTCAAAAATAGCATATAGCATATGTTCAAAAGAGTTTCAAGATTAACATAATGGCGAATTTTGGTCAACATGCCATTAGATCTATTTAGTTTTATTGCTAATTCTTTACAATGGGATAAAAAGGAAAGATTTGAATCAATTTTTATACCAAGATATTTAATTGAGTTAACAGGTTCAATTTTCTTGCCACTTAATCTTCCTTAAAGTTTGTATGTTTATAAATTTTTGTTTTATTAGATTTGATAATGAGTTCAGTTTTATTAGAGTTTAGAAAAATTTTGTCGGAGTGAAGCCATTGAACTAGATAGGCAAGATCATGGTTAATGTGTTTGTTAATTTTTTAAAGAGATTTATTAATTAGCATTAAATTAGTTTCATCAGCAAAGTAGTAAACAGTAGCAAACTTAATGGATGTATGAAGATCATTAATAGAAAGAGGAAAAGGCAGTGGTCTCGATACTGAACCTTGAGAAACACCATTAGAACATTTTACAAGGATTTTGAGTAGATATATAGTAGGTACTTTAGGTAGATTTAATAAAATTAATTAAAATCAAGAAATTATTTTTTAAAGATAAACAACCTCATTTTTTTGTTCACTATATGATATAATTGTTGGAAACATGTTGTTTGATAATATGTTGTACAAATCTCCTTTAGAATTCTAGAAATAAAAAGATGTAAAAGAAAAAAAAAAAAAAATTAAATATTTCACAAACATTTGTATTTG